AGAGTGACTTAACTCCTCCTTGACCTTACTCAGATCCTTTCTCAGTTGAGAATTTGTTTCAAGAGAAGCAACTAACTTGGACTCAAGGATTTTAAGCTTTTCTTCCAGTTCTTCCTCAAAGATGCTAAGCTTTCTCTTTCCACCTACTGAGGTACCAGGGTCCTCTTCAGGTATAATGTTGTTCGTTTCTAGAGTCCCTATTCTTACACTCATTTCAGAAACTTGAGACATGAGAGCAGAGTTCTCATCCTCACACAAACTTATTTTTTCATTCAACATTAAGTTTTCAGTGGTTCGTTCATCAACAGAGTCAATAAGCAATGCAGCAAGTTTTCTCAAATTTTTAATGGGAAGAGTATCTAGATCATCTTTAAGATAAAAAAGAGTTATCTCATTTAGATCCTCTTCATCATCAGATTTTGCCATTAATGAGAAGATGGAATTGAAGACATTTTCATCATCTTTAATAGCAATCATTGAAACATCTTCATAACTTTCTGCATCTTCTTCTAACTCACTTGAATCATTTCTCCATACAGCAAGGGCTTTTCTCACCAACTGATCAGCATGAGCCTTTCTCCGAGCACTGTCTGGGACCAGGTCCCTCTTGCGAGGTCTAAAGTTGTCACGCCCCAAGCTACCCCCAAGACGCGGACACGGGACCTAGGACCACAAGTGATCCCTGTTTTATTAAGAAAATATAATTTTTGACTGGTTTAGAGTCGCCACTTAATTTTTAACAAAAATCAAGAAAACTATTTATTTTCACAAGACTAAAACAGGAATCTAGTGAAAACTTGAAAAGGGTTCGAGGGTCCATATTAGTGTTCTAGGAAGGGTTTTAAAGCACCTAGAACACCCGCTAATGCGGTTATCCGACGATTACTTATTTGGCTAAATTAACTGTAACTTAGTTTGAATTGCGAATTTGAACTATTTTGTAGTTAGAACTATATAAAAAGAAAATTTATTTGAAATATCATCTAAGCAAAATATTTTGTAAAACTTATTTATTTGTTAAGTCAAGTGAAGAATGAATAGTTTAGTTTAAGCAATTAATTCAGAATGGGTATCCTTTGGGG